ATTCACTCAAGGACCATTAATTGAGCATCTACAATGTGTGGAGTACTAACTGGTTCAATGCAGTCACTGGACTGGCAGCAATGCCCTGCAGCTAAGCGTTTTTTATGTCAATGTTAGGTAGTTTAACTATTGCACCCAGATGGGCTCTAACCAGTTCTCCTTGTGTCTTCAAAGGGACCCCTTACTTAAATGATGACACTTCATACATTGACTCAGACTACAGCAGCCCAGTACAGAGGCAAGTACAGACTACAGCAGACTCAGCTTTCTTCCTCTCTCTTCCTTCCTTCTCTTTCCCTTTCCCTTTCTCCTCTTTCCCTCCCTTTTCTCCTTTCCTTTGGATGGTCCATCCTGGAACAGGAAGCATCTTGCTAGGCCCCCCTGAACCCCAAAGGTTCAGGAAGGCTCTGGGAAATGATGGCAGACTGCCTTAATGGTTCTTCCAAGAACCACTTGGGGGTGGGGGGGGGGAGCCTGTACCTCTGCAGAAGGTATAGACACTGCCCAGACCAGGGGCCTCCTTAGGTCTAGGTTCTGAGTCACATAGTCCCTTCCTCACACACAATTTTCTTCCCTTTAAAATTCATTTTCCACTGTGTAACAGCACCCAGGCTGCCACCTTCAACAGCCTTAGGCATGAAACCTATACTGAGTGTAGGATCCAAACCTAAGTTTTACTTTTATGAAGAGGATTTCCCACTCCCAATTTTCTAATCTGTTGATGAGGGAAAAAATAATGAGAATGAGAGAGATAGACAGAGAGAAACAGAGGGGGGGGGAGAAGAAAAACGATGAAAAGCAAGGTGGGACAGATTGCCTTTTAAATCATTCATTCATTTATTTATCTTTAAATCTATAAAAGTGTTTCTCCCTAAATTCAGACAGTGAATATTTTAATCTTGTAGTTTCCATCGAGACAGACCTTTTAACCATTCATTCTCTGGCTTAGCCCAAGTCTCCCGCGACAGGAGATCCTCGGACTAGGGCTGTATTAAGTCTCTCTCTTCGAGCTGTTTGTTGACCACATTCACGTTCAGAGCCCTGGAGCTAAAAGCACTTTACACCATAAAATAAAAGCACTGTCTTTTTTTCTAAAAGGTTACGTCTGGAGGCCACGCGGCTCATACTTCATACCGAAAACTACTGAAAGGACTATGAAATCCTCTATGATTTACACTCTCTCACTGCATTAGGGTATAGATCTACCCAGCTCTAAAAATACGGTGAGTTTCTAACCGACGTGAATATATGTGCATTATTTCAGAAAGTCTGTTAGAAAACTTGTCAACACATTATAAAGCATAAACCAGGACTTGGCTATTAAGTACGGAGATCAGAGGCAGAATACATACTGCAGGAAGTACTGGGCAGTCTCTTCTGCGGGCAAGATAAAAAGGAGGAGGAGGGGAGAGGAGAGGTCGTCTGTTGGCCTGGAGTTTACTCACCCCCTGGTCACCCGGGTTTGGGGGAAGAGCTCACGCAGTGTAATTACCTTTTCAATGCAAAGCAGCAAAAGGTTCCACAGCCCCAAACGAAGTTAACTGAATTGGCAGAAAATAATTTTAACGTTGTCATAATTTATTACTTTCTAAAAGCCACTTCTGGAAAGGTAAATATACTTATTGTGTATCCAAATGTGTGCGTTTCAAGTGACCTTTCACCTCCCCTCTGCCAAACCACCTGCATCATTAATCAGTACTTAAGTAATATTTTAAAATCTCTTAGAACAACACATTTTTCTTTTACTTCTTTAAACACACAGACGATCTCTCCCCCTCCCCCACTTTTGGGCGCCGTTGAGAGCGTCCAGCAGTGTCGAGAGAAGGGGCGTCACCCGCATAGAGAGCAGAAGGGACCCGGGAGGGGGGTCGGCGACTAGGAGAGATCAAATGCCGACGCACTGCCTGGGTTTCTGGACTGGGTGAAATCTGGCTGGGGGAGGGGCGGGAGCGGAGGGCAGTTCCCATTTTCACTCTGGGCATTTTATGATGGGGAAATTAAATATATGTTAATGGTGGAAACGTCGCTGCTTACCTCTCCATTGGCACCCAGGGAAAGCAGCTGCAAAAGCTGGCTCTTTAATGTATGTTTTAAGATGTGGTTTAGGAAGAAACCCCCCATCCCCCAGTCTGAAACAAGTACTGTAACACAGCAGACCTACTTGTAACTAAGTGCTTAATTTCCTATGATTTTTTTTTAAAAAAGAAAATCGATAAAATGTTGCCAGTTATTTATTGGAAATAACCACAGATAGCAGTCTTGATAGGGTGCTGGTTTTAGAGAACACACAATTGTGTAATGAATTGTAATTCAGAAGACTGTTAAATGTGAACCACAGAACCTTTCAGAGGTAATAAAGTCATTACTTTTTACACTACACCCAACCCTGAAAAGCTTTATACATACCATTCTCTATAAATCCCACACATCTGCAGTATCTATTTCTTCAACATACTCTCTCCATGTATTTATCTTCTCACCATATGCAACTTGTGTGGATGAAGGAGAACAAGATTCAAATCTGAACAGCACGGTTCTAGCTCCCAGTGTTACCTGAAAGGGATTTTATTTATTTAGTTTTCCGAAGGCCTCCCAATTTGACTTTTTTTCTTCCCTCTTCTTACCTTCCCTACAGCCGTCCACCTCCGGGTCCCGCCTCCCCTCCTCCCTAGGTTCTGACTTTCACTCCCGAGGCTCGCTGGGAGGCTGGTTTAGCAAGACAAAAAACAGACATTAGAGGAAGAAGAGAGGCTGCGCTGCTCTGAAGAACTCAGTGAAAAGGGGAAATGGTGTCACTCACAGGAGCTTTTCTGCTAGTGAATCTTCTTGCTTAAACAGAATGTGAGGACCCCCCCCTCCCAAAGCGGAGGAAAAACCACGAACCTCATTTACGCAAACCCCGTCCAGCCCAAACCTCTCCTAATGTTGGGCATCAAAACCTTCTTTTCTTCCTTAGAGGGGCGCGAAGCTTCGCGGCGCTAGGCAAGCCAGTCAGTCCCTTTTCTCATAGGTTTGAAACTTTCCTAAGAAGACATAGGAATAAAACAGCCGCTTGCTGGTGAGGCTGGGAGGTGGGTGAGCGCGTGCAAGCCCGAGGCCCACGCTTTAAACAATAAAGCCCCCCGCCGGGTGGGTGAATTTACGGAAGCGACACCTCTTTTCCTGAACAGGGGTGGGGTGTGTGTGTGTGTGGAGGGGGGGTCTGAGAAGACACGAGGGGATGTGGAGCGGCTTGGAGAAGGAAAAGGAGGCTGTTCGCTTTGCAGACACACATGTCCACCTGCAGCTGGCGGGGGTGGGGTGGGGCTGGGGGTGGGGGCTGCGGGCCGGGGCCAACCGTCTCCACCCCGCACTTCGGCACCCTCCCCTCCCCTCCCCCACCCCTCCCCGATTAAGGAACCGCAGCTCGATCTCCGGTGCGGGAGGCAGGAGTGGTGCAGGCAAGGCAGAGAGACTGGGAGGCGGGAGACGCCGGGGGGACTTTGCAGGCACATTTCTGAATAAACTTTCCAATCGCAGGGGGTGCTGTTGCTGTACATTTTACGTAAAACTGAAAGTATCCCACGCCAGAGTGAAGCCCGCTTTTTGACAGCGGCAGCGCGCGCGTGTATGCATTAAAGAGACAGGGGTTGATTTCCAACAGGTCTTCCCTAAATTGCAGGGAAGGACTGCGGAGGGGCGAGAGGGTGCAGCGGGGGGCGCCGGGGTGTGCGCCATGGCCGCTAGCTAGCTCCTGGGGAGCGCGCCGCTGACCCCGGGGCGGTCATCTCCCCACCGTGGCCTCCCCCCCGCCCGCTTTACTCTTTCCCCCAATTCTCCATTTCTTCGGGCAACAGATTAGGAACACTTGTGCTCTGTCTGTAAGAAAACATTTTTCTTTTCCATCCCTTTATGCTTTTGGCAGTTGGTGGGAAGTGGGAAGGGGGTGTGTCCCCTCCCGGAGACCCGGCTGGGACACCTCCTGCGGCGCCGGGAACAGGTTCCCAGGGCCCCCGGAGTCCCGGGACTGCCCGCGCTTTGTCCTCCGGTCCTCCCGAGAGAGGTGGACGCCTCGGCATCTCTCGCGCTCCGGCCCCTGGTGCTCCTCTCCCGGGACTCGGGCTCTACGGTTTATTTTATTTATTTATTTTTTAATCTCTCGGCCACTCTCTCTCTGTCCTGCGGCTCCGGGGAGCTGGGCATTTCCAGTTCCATTCGCACGCAGTCGTTGGCTGGGGCGCTCAGATTCCCAGGCTTGGCCTTGGGGGCGCCCTCCCAGTCCTCCCGCGTCTGGCCCCAGCCGAACGCAGCCTGTGCGCCCCAACCCCCAACTCTGTGGGCCACCGAGGCTCCACGAGGCCCCAAGCGTTGCCCTTCCGGATCCGCAACCCTCCAAACTTGGGCTCCATTCCGCTTGGCCACGCGCTCCCTCCCGGCGCCCCTCGCCCACCGCCGAGCTCGTAACTTAGAGCAGCTCAGCTCTCAACTTCGGGTGATTTTTTTTTCTCTCTCTTCTTCTCCGATCCTTTCCTATCCTTTCCTTGGGCAAAGTTTCCCGAGCGCTGCCGCGGGCTCGGGTCTTTCACTAGGGCCCCGGGAGCCGGCCGGCGGGCAGCGAGCGCGGCGGCGGC